ATCATGATGACACAAGTCATCTCATGGAAGTGGGAGCCGAAAGTCTGAATGAAATATTCGAAAATGCTGCACAAAAAAAGCCACAATCAAAACTTCCTCACCCAAGGAATCAAACCCTCCGGGATTTATTGCTGAGTAAAGATTTAGCAATTAAGACTCCAGAGGAAATCATTGAGGATGCAATTAGGAAAGAATTGAAACGAACAAAAGGAATGGAAGACACGATCGACATGGAAGTGCCTAATGATGTAAGGAAAGTACTTGACGTTTCGAGGATTCCAAAACTATCGACGATCATTGAAGAAATGGGAGAAAGTAATGAAAGTGAGCGTCAACAAATAGTATATAGTTTTAATGACGAAGCTAAAATTGAAAATGCAGCATATCTACCGAAAAGAGTCGACAATTTTATTGCACCTACCGAAGAGGCTAATTATTTTGGAAAGTTGTACAAAACAAAAAACGATAGACCTGCAAGTGATGAAGCTTTATTGCATGTTGCTATTTATCATCCCGTTAGAAACACCAAAGTTAAAGAATTTATTGTTCTAGGAAGTCAAAAACTTACAGAGCTTAGAGATTGTATAGATTGCTCTACCGATGCAGCCTTGCTAAGTCATGTATCCTTGTATACTAATTCTGGCTATTTTTTCATTGAAAACACATTCTATAATGACATGCGACACGAGAACAATATTGATTATAGCGAGAATATCATAACATGGCTAAAATCTTTCGATAACTTGGAAGGATCTAACTCAAACAAAATTAATTATTCGTCCCGACGAATGGAGGATGTGTGTTTTTATGATTTATCCATTAGATTGAATGAGCCATATATTTATTGTCATAATGGCAATTGTATGCATTACATTGTATTTACGGAAATGAGGTTGATTAATGAGAAGGAAGATGTAATGAATATTCACGCATATCCTATACGTTCTTTTCAAGCAAAACCAAAAAGACGAAAATGTGGCGTGTGCGAAATCTATCAAGCCAAGTACATTACATACAAAGACAAGCATACTTCAGACGATCCTTCATTCTTTTGTGACTCTTGCTACAGACAATTTCATTATGACCACACTGGCCATTTGCTTTATGGTGACTATGAAGTGTTTGAATATAGATGCGACTAATTGATCTTTTGTACATCATCATGTTGTTATCTCGCATGAATACGTCCTCTCTCTGTAAACTGAATCTTGTCTTAGTTTGACATTTCAAAATCCATTTCGATGAATACTCATTCTCTCTCTCTTGGTCTCAGTTCATCTCGTTCAACTTGAAAAAAAACGTTACGAGTTCGTTGGGAGTGTTGTCGGGCTCAGCTCTGACCGGATTTAGTACTAACTAGGCGTTATTCAAATATTCGAAAAAAAAGTTACGAACGTTACAGAATCATCATCCATCGGTTACTACTGTTTTTTGGAAAGAAGAAATGAAAGAGGTGATATCGTTACATATTGGCCAGGCTGGTTGCCAGGTGGCACAAACCAATTGGGAGCTCTTCTGTTTGGAGCATGGAATTAAACGAGATGGATCATTAAGTGAGGGAACCCCTAAAGGGTCTGTATCTTCCTTCTTTGAGGAAGCATGCTCTGGAAATTATGTCCCCCGATCCTTACTCATCGACCTTGAACCAAGTGTTGTCGATCAAGTGAGAACCGGTTCCTTCAAAGGCTTGTTTCATCCCGAGACTTTAATTACGGGCAAAGAAGATGCTGCCAACAACTACAGTAGAGGAAAGTACACATTGGGCCGTGAGATTGTCGATTTTGTTCTCGACAAATTACGAAAGGTAATTATCAAATGCATGCATTGAGTTTTCTGAAAGTCGGATGTTAATTTCTATGTACTCGTGATCATTGGTTTTTATTCTTCTCGAAATATCGCACCATTGAACTCCTTAGTTGGCAGAACGTTGCGATTCACTCCAAGGATTTATTATGAACTGCTCGATCGGAGGTGGAACTGGAAGTGGTTTGGGTAGTCTCCTTGTCAGCAAAATGCAGTCTGATTACAAGACAGTTCCAAAGGTACTCGTGGCAGTGTTGCCCTCGCCACAGGTATCGAACGTGATAGTAGAGCCTTACAACGCGGTTCTCTCCTTGAATGAACTTACTTCGAATGCAGATGTGTGCTTCATGATGGATAATGAAGCCATGTATGATATTTGTCGAAGAGGTTTAGATTTAGCATCTCCCACTTATTTCCACCTAAATAATATCATTTCTCAAACGTTTTCCTCACTCACTACTGGAATTCGGTTCGATGCCAGTTTGAATAGCGATGTCAAATCATTTGCAAGTAACTTGGTTCCATTCCCAAGGTAAGTGATTGTGCCATGATGTGTAATTGTGTAATACTATTGAGGTTTATACTAGAATCAACTTTCTTGCTTGTTCTTATGCTCCCTTGTATTCTCCACTCAAAGCATACAATGAAATGATTTCAGTGAATGAAATAACTTTAAGTGCGTTCGACGCTTCGTCAATGATGGCCAAATTCGATCCAAGACATGGTAAATTCATGGCGGTGACATTAATGTACAGAGGTATGTAATTGGTATTTTTTAAATAACAATATTTAAACCCTAATTTAAAATGTTATGAATTCATCATCAAAATGTTTCTCGTCATGACGACATTCATGACAATAGGTGACATTGTTCCTAAGGATATCAATGCCAGTATTATGGTTGTAAAATCAAAGAAGACATTCAAATTTGTAGACTGGTGCCCAACAGGAATTAAGTGTGGGTTATCGTCACAAAAACCATCCGTGCTTGCTAATAGCATTATCGCTCAGACTCAGAGGTCTGTATGTATGGCCTGTAATTCCACAGGGATTGGTGAAGTTTTTAAGAGAATTACAGACAAGTTTGATCTGTTGTATGGTAAGTAACACACAAATTTTGAGTTTTAGCAAAGAACGTTTCTGAAATATTATGAACGATAGTCAAACGAGCTTTTGTGCATTGGTTCGTAGGTGAAGGATTGGAGAGTGGTGAAATGGCGGAGTGTCGTGAGAGAATGAGTCAAATCCTTGCCAATTATGCAGAATTAAATGGTTCAGATGAAGCTGAAACTTCAAGCACCAACAAAGAACCTGCCAAACCATCCCATTAACCCACCCTTGTTGTACATAATAAATTTTGTGAAAGTGTGTGTCTTTGTCTCATCCAACAGCCTCAATTGAGGAAGAAAGGAGATTTTATCTTTCGTACTTTGAGAATCTCTCTGATGGAAATTCTTTCGACTCTCTTCAAAAACAAAATGTCTTCTTCCCCATCATCATCACAACTCGAGACCGAGTTCAAACAGGCCCAACAATTCGTTCAGAGTGGACCTGCTGAATCCGAACCTTCCAATGAACAAAAACTATTGTTCTATGCTTACTTCAAGCAAGCCACTGAAGGACCCAATACTGGTAAGTTGATTTTTTCATTCAATTCTGTTGGTAGTGATGATCATCATCAATACGATGTTCTGATCGTAGGAAAGAGACCAGGAGCCTTTGATCTTATCAAGAGAGCAAAATATGATGCGTGGAAAAAGCTAGGAGATATGTCCAAAGAAGATGCCATGAAAGGTATTGTTTTTAATGAAAATGCTGCTCAGATTCTATTATTTTGTTTTTCCGATGATCATCATTCATATTAATATTCATTGTATACAATGTTTGAATGGCAATAATTCTAATCAGGATACATTGCTAATCTTGAAAAATCATCTCCTAAATGGAAGGAATTCTTTGCAAACAAGAGCAGTACTGTAGAGGCTTCTCCAACCTCTGGAACATCCAATCCTTTCGGCAATGAAGTTTTCAGGCCTGATCTTCTTCGTGGAAAGGTGGCTGTCGTAACTGGAGGAGGTTCAGGAATTTGCAAAGGTTGGTTTTAGTTTTTCGATCGAAACTGTTTTTGAAACGACAAACGTATCAATTTAACAAATTCAGTCATTACCGAATATTTGGCATATCATGGAGCGAATACTGTCATCATTTCACGAACACTCTCCAAGTTGGAGCAAGCTGCTAAAGAAATTAATCAACTTGCAAACAATGGCACTGAATGTTTTCCTGTGAGTGCAGATGTGAGAGATTATAAGGGTTTGTCAGAAGCTTTTGATAAGGCATTGAAAAAGTTTGGAAGAATTGATATTTTGGTGAATGGAAGTGCTGGTAATTTCTTGTGTCCTGCCTCTCAATTGAGTAGTGGTGGATTTAAGACCGTTTTGGAAATTGATACTGTTGGAACTTTCCATGCAAGCAAGCTTGCATATGAGAAATACATGAAAAAGCATGGAGGAAACATTGTAAATTTGTCAATGACACTGCACAACACTGCCAGTATCATGCAAGGTGAGTTTCTTGTTTTTGTTTCACCGTGAATATTCACTGACATTTAAATACGACATTAGTCCATGCTGGATGTGCTAAATCGGCCATTGACACCATGACCAAACACTTGGCTGTGGAGTGGGGATTGGATGGTGTTCGTGTCAACTCCATTCAAATTGGACCAATTGAGGGAACAGAAGGCTTCAGCAGACTTCTTCCAAAAGAAGAATTGGACAAGTTCAAGAAGACAATTCCATTGCAAAGGTTTGGTCAACCTGTCGACATTGCAAGAATGGTTTTGTTCCTTGTCAGTGATGCCGCTAGCTACATTACTGCTGCCATTATTCCTGTGGAAGGAGCATCTCAATACACCACCAACAACATTTATGGATATCCACAAGTATTGCAAATGAGCAAGATGTAAACCAATTATTATTGTACCAAATCTCTCCTTATTTATTAATTCAACTATTATTGTTATTGCTTGAAATAATTTTTTATTTTTGCTTTTAATTAAAAATGTCTCACAGCACCCACAAACGACCAACACCGAGCTCTGAAAACGAATTACAATCAACATTGGAAATGACTGTCCATGATGCTGAAAGCTCAAAAGCATCATGCTCTTCGTGCTATAAAAAAGTAAAAACCAGTCTCTCGGAGGAAGATGAAGCAAGCCAATCAACCTCGCAACCATCGATATCATCATACATCGGAAGAAATGAAATTTTACAACGAATAGAAAATAATAGTTATAAAATTCCCTACATTTACAAAGATGTGGATGTGATAGTGATTGACAAACCTTATGATTTGCATATTGATGGAAACTATACACTCACTGTTGAAAAACTTGTAAATACACAATATCCAGAAATGGAAAACCCTCCAGTAGAAAATATAACAAAACCAAAACGAGGGTTCACACCATCGAAACGAAAATTGAAATTTTGTCATCAACTAGATTATGCAACTTCTGGAATTTTATGTTTAGCATTTACCAGATCGAGTTGTGCAAACATTTCACAATGTTTTCAACAACGTACTGCCAAAAAGAAATATTTGGCCGTCGTGCGAGGTCACATCGAATCAGAATCTAGTTTTGATGTTACATCTTGGATTGAAGAGGATCCATCAGATGAAAACAAATTTAAAATGAGAAATTATTATAAGGGCCTTGAAAAAACTCCTGTTGGAGAGCTTAAAACAGATGAAGAGATTAAAGCAGCTTCCAATAGTAAGGAGTCATTCACGCATGCTCAAGTGTTAAAAAAAGGATTTTACCATGTTGGTGGAAGTCAGAAACTTGAATCAGACACGCCATCTGAAACGCTGAAAATTCCTGTCACCAAAGTGTTATTAACCCCAAGCACTGGAAGACGTCATCAATTGAGGCTTCATATGCAACTCTATGGAACTCCAATTCTTGGAGATGGCACCTATGGTCACAACGAAGAAGGAATTCACAGAATGATGCTTCATGCTTGGTCCTTATCACTTCCCGGAGTTTTGGAGAAAGAATTAGTGACTACCGATCCATTTGAAGATGCCAATTATTTTGAATGGGAATAGGAAAATATAAAGTTCATGATTCAGATTACAAAAAAATGCAATCCTTCTCACCACCGGTTTCAACGGAAGATAAAAATCGTGTGGAGAATTTAGCATCTCAAATTTTAAAGATATATTCTCACCGAAAAGCAAGCAATACGTTGGAATCTCTTGATGAATTGAAAAAACAATATAAATCATTACCGAGATTAACAAAGAAACAATTTGAAAATCTCCCCAAAGAACAACGAGAACAATATATTAAAATGTTGGAATCTATAATTTCGAAACTGTCGGCCATAATTCTATTTTCAACACCTTCCAAACCATCGAGTACGACCTTTGATGAACAAAATTTAATTTTAAATGATGTCCTAAAAGGATTTAATCATATTGATAAGGATTTTTCTAACATCACGTTGCAAGCCATGCAAATGGCTATTGACAGGAGAAGAGAAGAAGAAAAACGAGCAATAGAGGAACAACGAAAAATCTTGGCACAAAAAGTACCAATCGCAGGAGTCATGAAAAAACTAGCCTTTCAATTGAAATGCTTAAAATTGAAAAATAATAGCGATATATTGGAATCGGAACGAGAGAATTTGAGGAAAATATTTAAAAATCATTTGCCCATAGAAAATAATTTTGCATCCTATTTTAAAGTGATTCCAGAACTATGTGACACATTCACAGATTATCAATGGATAAGATTATTAGTGGCGTTAAATTATCATGAAAAAAATTGGCTTTCGTTTGTGGAAAATATTCAGGATTTTGTTTTGAAAAGTTACAAAGTAGAAGAATTCATGCTCTTCATGCTCATGAATGGAAACGAAAAGGAATATGATTCTCTCAACAGAAGTGACTATAGTCATGATTCGGAAATGGAATCACTACGAAAACAAACTGAATCTGAAAAGAATCAAATAGATTCTTTCAACAAGAACATTAAGGAAAAGTGGTCTGCGCTATCCGATCTCGACAAACTCAAATGTTATCTCAAAGAAGATTCCAAAGAACACTATGAAAGTATTTTAAAAAAGGCCAAACTTCTTGGTTTGAAAGATGAGGCCATTTTGGAACTTTTCATTGAATCTTATCAAAAGGCAAAAGAACAACATTTGTCAAACACGTCATCATCATCGCCTCACCAAGATATTTTCATTCACACTTTTCATCCAAACACCTTCCGAGAGACAATACCTTTCAAATCTTTGAGCACTGAGCTCGCCCTTGGTTTTCACAACACAAGTCTCGAACTTGCGAAAAAACTCAACATTCCAGAGAGTATTATAACTCACATTTACAAGTCAAAGAAGGCCTCTTCAACCATGGCCAAAACAACCACCGAAGAAAATTGGATAGAAAGAACAGTTGCTCTCCTCAAGGACATTTCTCTCTTCAAGACGTTGTACTTTGAAGAGATGCACACACCCAGCAATGACAATATCAACACATTGGAGCCCTTGTCCAAGCTGTAACAAAAAGATTGCGTTCATCAAAAAGACGTTTTAACAATGTTGGTGGAACACTCATCACACAGCAGCTCTTGATCATTTCTCCTCTGCACCAACAACAACACTTTCATCATTTCTCCTTTGCACTTTGATTTCCAGGAAGAATTCTTTCACAAAAACTTGATCAAGAGAGAGCGCGACAGACGTGAAAAAAATGGTTGCCTTCCTCAGTGCCATTTCTCAGCGCTTTCGGAAGAAGGAAGCCTCTTCTTCCTCTTCTGCCGAATCGGGTGCCTCGTATGGGGCTACGGCGGTTGTTGTAGATGGTAGTGCCAATGGTATTGTTGTGGATGAACAATCATCATTGCTTGCTTTAGGAAATATTCAACAACAACAAATGGAAGCAAAACCAAAGAGAGTGGCAGGTCAAGACCGAATGATAGCACTCGATGTGATGAGAGGAATGACCATTATGCTCATGATTGTGGTGAATAATCAACCATCAAGAACATATTATCCTCTGGACCATGCTGAGTGGTTTGGTATGACTCCGACGTAGGTAGAAATGAAATTTTGTAAACTCTGTTTCTTCCACACGTTGTTGGATTTTCATTGAATATCGTCTGTATGATTGTGACCAAATATATTTTGATGTTGAAAATAGAGACCTAGTATTTCCCTTCTTTTTATGGGTCAGTGGATACGCAGCTGGAATTGTGTTTAGAAATGAATGGAAGTCAGAAGATATTTCATTCTTCCCATGTTCTGAATTTTGGCATAACATACAGAACTATTTCAGAAAGTTGTGTGGAAAAATTGATTATGAAAATTTAGAAGAAGGACAACAAATTGAATATGTGAAATATCTCTATTTAATTCCCATGAGAAGACCATTATATGAAGTGGTGAGCAAGTGGACAAAAATTATCAGAAGATCTATTTTACTCTTTCTTATTGGATTCTTTTTCTCCGTGTTATCGCATTTGTTTGACTTTACAAATGTGAGAGTAATGGGAGTGTTGCAAAGAATTGGAATTTGTTATTTTATCACAAGCTCCATGCTCGTGTTAATTCCATGGACATTTATTCAAATTGTATTTGCCTTATTCCTACAAGTTCTTTATATTCTCATTACATTTGGATTGTATGTGCCTCAAAGTGAAGGATGTGCCACACGTGGTGTTTTGGAGCCTCCTCAATGTACTGCAGAAGGTTATATTGACCGATTAATTCTCACTCAACGTCACACTTACCAACAAGCCAATTACGATCCAGAAGGATTCTTATCCACTCTATCTGCAGTTACGAATTGCTATGTTGGTGTGTTAGCTTTCAAAGTTGCTCAAAAAGCAGGAAAAGATGCTCACAAGCGTCTCAATTATTGGTTCCTTTTAGGCTCTGGTCTTATGATCTCTGGAATGTTAATTCACTATGCTGGATTGCCAATTGGAAAGAAACTATGGACGACATCCTTTGCATTTGTATCGAGTGGAATTGCTTGTGCATTTTTGGCTTGCATTTGCTTCATTGTTGATATTCATCAATACAAGAAATATTGGACTGCCATCTTTTTATGGACTGGATCAAATCCACTCGTCATGTATGTGGTTCCTACGTTGGTAGCCATTGTCATGTTAAAGATTCCAGTGACTTATCAAGGCAAACAATCTAATTTATACAGTGCTGAGTTTAGAGTATTATTTGCAAGTTGGCTTCCTATTGAATTGGCTTCAACTCTTCATGGCATTTGTTATGAGCTCCTCTTCATACCACTTGCATTTTTATTGTATTGGAGAAAGATTTTCATTAAACTTTGAGTTGTAATTTGAGTTGCAACTCTTTCGAGTGATGTTCCGCCAATCAAAATTTTCATCATAATTTCAAAGTGTTGATTTAAAGGCGCCAACCAAAAAAATGGATTCCAATTTTCATCATGTGGCGCACAAAGGTTTCATGATTGATATTGTAGATCGGGAGTGGGCAATGGATGTTCTGCCTAATGATGACGTCATGATTGTGAGTGCTAGTTTGGAGCAATCAAGAAAGAATCCGATTCAAAATACACTTTCTCAACTGACCAACAACCATCCGAGTCTAGCTGTGCATCCATTATTCCTCGAGGAAGGAGTTGCAGGCATTGCTGACTTGAAGGATCATTCATTGTTGTTAGGTGAGAATGGTTTTATTTCTGGTTTGGAGAGATTACCCAATGATTTCGGAAAGATGAATGAGTGGAATGATTTGAATCTGTACAGTTTAATTCGAGAGGATAATGCCTCTGATGATCATATTTAACTTCATGTAGTCCTATAGAATGTTCGTTCCCGAAAATTATTATTATTATTTACACCAATTTATTCCTCACAAGAGGACAAATTTTGTACAACAACTACAACAACAACTGAATCAATGATAATAATAGACTAAATTACTCTCTAATGCATAGAGCTTAGTATACATTTTGGCCATCGAATTGAAACCTCTCTCGTCATTATTTCTCAACAAATTTCCGGCATCACAATTTAAAGGAGAATCGGATCCCTCTCGCGGATTTGAAAGCATTGACATGATTGCTCTACACACATTCAATAACGTCCAAACAGGGCTCCACTTATCTTTCAAAATATCCATACAAATTTCTCCCGTTTCAAAATGAACGTTTGGATGAAAGATCTTGGTCAGAAACTCAACTTTCGGAGGTGTGATCGGATATTCTTTCGAAACTTGTATTTTCAATTCAAACACACCATCCTCATAACTCGTTCCCTTCGGACCAATACATTTTGCATACCACAAATAAATATTATTTTCATCGGGTTGGAGAATGACGTCCGTGAAACCCTGTTGTTTTGTTTTTTGGATTTCATTGTACTCTTTCATGATACGTTTTTGTGTGGCCATTTTTTTGGTGTTGATTTTAACACTTTGCATTCGGAATTTGGTGGTTGTTCCTGTTGCTGAAATATACAAGGAGATGATGAACCTTGCAATGCCTATTAACCATTGTTCGTTTTTAGGTTCAAGGATAAGGTTGTAGCATTCCACAATCTCCAAAAAAGTCTTTCATCCACACACGTGTTTGTTGCTCGGGATTTCACACAACGAAAAAATGTCATCCCGACCTTCTCGCTCGGCATCTCTGAAACGCCACAACAGACAGAAGGCACCCAAAGTCCCGAGCAGTTCCTACTACTTGGGTTATGTGGAAGATGATGAAACCATCGAAATGATTATGAAAAAGTTCGAAGAATTAGAGAAAATTAAACAAAACCATCATGCATCCTCCTCATCTTGCTCACAAAATCATCATGATGATTCATCATGCTATCTCAATGAAGAACAACAAGAGGAATTATTCAAACGAACCTCTCATCATTCCATTCAATCGAATATTTATGCAGAAATTATGAGAAATTTTGATACCACTCTCGGAATAAGTGAAGAAGAAGAATTGGAAGAATCCGATCACTCTTCCGATGATGAAGATTATCAAGAGGATGAAGAAGATGCTTTTGATGAGTGCATTTCAGATGATGACAATTATGAAGAAGAAGAAGAATTAGATCATGATTTTGAAGAAGAAAATGCTGAACTGCCACTTGATTCCATGAATCATGATCGTTTTCATTCGGAAGAAGAATTCTTATCCATGACAGAGGAGGAAGAGGATTCGAACAACGAATCGAATGAAAAAACGAAACGAACAAAAAAAAAGAGAAAAACAAGTCAGAGAAAATCCAATCGAAAATCACATCATCAAGATTCAACAACTTGTGCTTCACACGCCATGAGAGACATTTCCATGCTCTTAGATCCTAATATGAATTTCCTCAAAATGATGGAATCCTCGCACAAATCCACAAATTTAGGAACCCCAAAAAAAAAGAAATCCACAGAAATTGTGACCATTCCAACCTCAAACAAAATATTGAGTGCATGGGCAAAAATGATTCGACCCATTACTTTGGAAGAATGTGATTTGTGTAAAATTTCACCAACCTCAACAATTATTTCGTCGAAAATCTCTTCGAAAATGATTGTGAAAAGAAATGATCATCAAGACAACCATCAACACGATGCATGCCATCAATCTTTAGGCATGGTTTATCACATTCAAACCACAGAAGAGGTCATTATTACACATGATTTACTCAATTTCAATTTTCAAGAAATTTCCAATCAAAAGGGTCCATTTGAGGGCATCTTAATTGATCCTCCCTATGACTCGATACAAGTGGAAGATTTAGTAAGTAAGAAGGAGATTTATATGAAGTGATTCATGATAATATTCATCTTTTATTTTCATCAACAAATACCTCAACACAATAACTATTCAACTTTTTATTGTGTTTGTAATTGAACTGATTGGAATGATCTTTTTGGAATTCACATGTCAAGAAAAAACTTCCTCTCGACAAGGAATGGTTCATTTCGAAAGGTTACTGCTTTATTTGGGTCGAAAAAGAATTCACTGTCCAAATCATCAAAATTATGAAAGAATTCAATTTTGATTATGTGGACAGTATGTGTTGGGTGAGAGAACAATTGAATCAATCCTTCTCTACTGCACCTTCTTTGTTATTTCCCAAATCCAAACTTTCTCTTTTTATATTTAGAAAAAAGAACAACCTTACCAAATCCATGCATCTCAAGCATCAACGAAATGCTGATGTTGTGTTTGATTTTGAGAAGGAAAATCCAAGAGAAAGACCTTCCATTGTGTTTCATGTGATTGAGACATTACTTTTTTCTTCGAATAGTTTTTTAGAGTTATGGGGTGAAGGTTGTTACAAACATTGCAAACAAAAAACTCCCTCGAAATGGACAATTATTAAGGAAATATCTTGAGAGTGATTCGGATCATTGTTAAAAACCCGTGTTTGTGAGTCATCCCAAAAGGAATTGAAAATAATTACAATCATACTTGTCAACTGTCAAGGGAGAATCTTTTTTCACAAACACCAAGCAACAAATTGCGACGAGTTAATACTGCCAAATAATTGATCATCACCTTCCTACATCTGACATCTATACTTCCTATAAGCCTCTCCTCGAATTTACACACCAAAAACGTGACTGAATCCTTGTTGATATCAATTTCAACAACCATAACATCTCTACAAGCTAATCATTATTTCCATTGCAGTTCCTCTTCTATAATCTCAATTAGAACACCACCACCGATATTCGGACTTTTAGTTTGTCCAAAAGAAACCAACAAACATCCCTTCTTTGATTCACAATTAGAAAACATTTTCACACCACCAACAATCACACAGAATGAAAAATTTCACACTTTCAACTTCCATCAGCAGAGACGAAGAAAAACAAGAACTCTTTTATGTGACCACATCACAACCCTCTTCCAACAACTCTAACACTCCCTCATTGACCTCTCCACAGGATGAATGGTCCGAACAAGGCAATTCAATGATGGACCAACTCACAAACACCATCACCATCACCACCACCAAACAGTCAAATCCATCACACGCTCACAGGTCGAGAGGAGTGGCCTTCTTCCATCCTCGATCTCATACCATTTCTGGCCAGAATCACGAGAATACAATAGAAAGTAGTAGTATCAACAAGCCTTCTTCTTCTTCTTCACCATCATCATCATCAACAACAACAGCAAGTAAACCTGTCCCAATTAGTAGTCAAAACTCTTCGGTCGTCGTTGCTTGTTCCAATACATCCTCCTCTTCCTCCTCCTCTTCCGCTTCAACAACAATGACATCCTCAACGTTGAACTCTACCATGATGATGGATGATCCAGCTGGATCAACATCATCGCCCTCTTCCTGTCCCTCTCCATCCCCGATGATGATCCAAAGTTCTTCTTTCCCATTGTTGGCTACGACGAATCCTTCCTTGTTATCATCATCGGTTGTTTCATCATCATCTTTTGAAACTATTAGCAACAACAACAACAACTCTTCACATCAGTTGCAGCAACAATCACCCAACAACCATCACACACCCAAAAAGAAGAAACTCTTTGGAGGAATACTCATGAAATTGAGGGGTGATTCAGGCAACAACAACAACAACAACAACGGAAATGGTGGTGATAAATCTTCTCCTACGTCGTTGTTGAATGAAAAGGAGGATTCCAACAACAACAAGAATGGTGGTGAAGATTGGTCTTCAAAAGACCTTTCAAGTGTTATCGTGTTGGAACGTCCTCAAGTTATTTCTGTTGGAAAATCGAATGATGATTTTAGAAAAAAGCTTCAAGATCGAAAGAGGAATGCAGGGACACGAGTGGTGAAGAAGGATGATCAACTTGTTTTTGAAAAGGAATGAAGTGTGTAATACTTGCTGAGTTTACAATATTGTACGGATTTTACATTGATTTAAAACGACCTCTATTGCATGATGGAATTCCATCCATGCATTCTATTTCCAAACTTCTATTGCAAATGTCATTCATGTATTGCTGAAAAGAAAACAACAACAACAAGTTCACTTGAGCGAGCTTTTAAATTTTTTGTCAACCAATATTTTCAACCAATATTTCATTCCAATTTAATATAATATACCTTTTAATATAATACCTTTTGTCAAAAATAGAGAGCTCTTTCAAGTTCATCATCATCAAAAAAATGTCTCAAACAAGTAGCAGCAGTAACATCATCATGACAAATACTTCCTTCATTCCAATCATAACAACATTAAGTGATGATGAACTCTTATATATTCTTTCCTTCCTCTCCCAAAAGGATTGGTTATCATTAAAATTAGTGAGCAAATCATCTTTCCGATTGTCACACCTTTCCGATCATGACAAGTTGTGGGAACCATTCTACAGAAAATATGCTTTTAAATTGATCGAAATTCATCAGAATTTTTCACATATCGATCATTGTTGGATGAGATCGGAACAGAAGTTGATTTTAAATTCACAACACCGTTTGACTTCAAGTCATTTACAACTTGTTCAAGACAACTTTAAAAATCATCTTCTACCTTAATTCGTCCTTTCATGGATCTCAAACACCAACTCCTTCAACAATCAAGAAAATACGTCAATCATTTGAAACAGAAAGGACCAAAAAATCCATTCCTTTCTTTCCATGATTTAAAATCAATAACCCCAATACCCATCAAGAGAATGACATGTCCTTCAGATGCTTGTACAAGGACTAGTCATGTTGACTATAAAATAGTATTTACTGGAGATGGAGCAGTGGGAAAGTCATCACTCATTGCTCGCTATCACAATGGAATATTTCCCAACGATTATGTGCCTACCGTGTACGATCGACTACGGCCATTGTCCTATCCTGGTACCGATGTGTAGTACATGGTGTGTTGTTCATGTAATAATCCTCTTTCCAATGTACATGACAAGTGGATTCCTGAAATTCGATGTTACACTACTGAGAGTAATCCTCCCATTGTGTTGGTCATGAATAAGATTGATTTAAGGTCCAATTACTTGGAGTTGTTATTGAATAACAAGGATTTGCCATTGGAATATCAAGATGGAGAAGCAGTGGCTCGAAAGATGGGATGTTGCACATATTTGGAAACAAGTGCCAAGGAAAATATTCATGTGGAGGATTTGACGGAAGTTGTGGTGAAGAGTTGCAGGTTTGCACAGGAGAATTTTTCGAGAAACATTAATGTACTAATTTTAATGATACTACATAATTTCCTTTAAAATCATGATCCAATCCCTAAAAAAATAGCCAAACATACCGTCTCCCAATGCTGAAGAAATTCTTGTCCGCATTGAATTGGAAGCACTCTTCAAATTTGAGGAGTGACATCATCACGATGACTCTGAAGAATAAGCATCATCATTCGGTTGCATTCAGAAATTACACATTTTCCATCGAACCATTAACTTGGAAACATGTGGATCAAGTTACCCTTCTCACATGTTATTGTTTTACAGAGAGTGAGCCAATTTCTCGTGCGTTCGGATATCAAATGACAGATCTCTATAATTTTGCTCATACCTATGTTTCACAAGCAGCAAGAGAAGAGTTGGGACATGTTGCCATTGACAAGACTGGGTAAGTTTTGATTGCAATCATCTTTGATGGTCAAACGAAATTCGATTGATTATTATTATTCATAAATAATTTATAATCGCATCCTATGTGGAAAATAGTTTGTTCGTTGCTGCAATTTATAGTGAAGATTTTGTGAAGGGTGTAGTGGAGCATCCAGAATTAGAGCCAGAAACCATACCAGACGTGTTGCATATTTTTGACAAGTTGCATTCTCAATACTTTTCAAATCCTCCACCCCTAGAAATGACACATTTTTCACACAAACCCAGTGAATTATTTACAACAAATAATTATGGAAAAATACTTCACTTGGTAGTGGCTGCCACTTATTCTTTTTACAGGTCTCAGGGAATTATGTCCAAGCTCACGAACACTCATCTCGAATATTGTAAAAATGATAGAGGTTTCACACAAGGAGTGGCTGAGTGTAGTAGTGATTATTCGAGAAGAGCTCTATTAAGGTTTGGATTTAACACACAAGCAAAGGTTGACTATGATGAATATGAGAGTCTTGTTGAAATAGATGGAAAAATTGTCAAACCCTTGCAGGGAAAGATTGAGCCTCCACATGTTTCAATGGACATGGTTTGGAATTACAAGTTATAATTTGTTGAGTCTTGAGACGAATCGTTTTAACATTATCGTTAAAGTTTGGATACTTTGTAAATATTACCACCACAGTACTCTTCATAAACATTCCAGCAATGAGATGGAATGATTTTTAAATTCTTCTCTTCTTTCCACAACTTGTGAAGTGTTTGCAACGTATGACAATATGCATTCCAATCATACTGAACAAGGAATTTGGTAACAAGATGAGGAGGTGATGCATTTATAATGGCATTGCTTGACCATGCTGCATCCCCGACAAGCAAAAATGTTCCCTTAACGGATTCATGTTTGTAATTTTCTTTGTTGTTAAATCCTTCTGTAGAAACTGTAAAATAGCATCCTAAATGTCCTTTACAGTGTCCAGGAAGATCAACAATAAATAGTGATCCATCACCAAAGAGGTCAAAAGTCTTGAAACAAGGAATAATGTTCTCATGATGCGAAAATTGTGTTTCACTCACTTGTATGGATCTCTTTTCAAAATCTTCTGGCAATAAATTTGGAATAAATCCATTAATACAGCATCTGAGATCTCTACAACAACAAGATTGTTTTCGTTCTTTCAAATATTTAAAACCTTCTTTCGAAAATACAAATTTAGCATTTGGAAAATCACGTAATCCGCTTATATGATCCGCATGAAAATGAGAAATAATAATGTAATTCACTTGTTCTGGAAGAATTCCAAATTGTACTTTCAATATTTCCTTTGCTGATTCGTCCTCTTTCAAAAAAACTGGAGTTAATTTTCCATACAATAGATATGGCATTAATTCTGTTTCCATATGAAATCTACTACTATATCCCGTATCAAACAATATATTTCCGAATTTTGAGTGTTGTATCAACACAAATAATGAAGGAAATTTAATAATCTCACTATTCCAATACGAAATGGATGAATCAGTGATATGATTGCTGTGAGTACAATATCCACTGCATAATATTTTCGTAGAGGTAATCATTTTAATATCATTCCGAATGATCCGAATGAGAGTGTACTTGCAAGTGATTCAATTGATGAAAATATTTTTTCTTTGAAACAAATAAAGATGTAAAAAATGTTTCAAGCAAATGATGATCGTGAGGAAGAGCCAGCAGTAGTAATTCATCTGGATGATCATTGTCCTATTGGAATATCCAACCCTAAATTTCAATATCAATTTAACCGAAGAAAATTTCAAAAAGAAACCATTCCGTTTTCATTGGAAACTTGTTCCGATCAAATCCAACTATTGATTCCGAGGCCACCGAGTTGTATATTGAGCGAAATTCTCATTGCTACTTCTACTTCTATGAATATCATCATGATTATTGAAAAATTTGATCGAGCCATGTTTCTCTTTAATTTATCTACCAAGAAATTAGAAAAACAATTCAAAGTCAAAGATTATGGAGTGTTTTTGATTGAAGAAAATTATGATGGAATTGGTCATGATGCATGTATTGTAACATGTAAAGCGGATGTTCTTCCAAGGCATTATTCTGCTATTGAACAATATCAACGTGCTGGTCTTCTTATTGCTAAATACGATTTGCATCACTTTATATCCGAGCATGAAAGAAACTTGACACCCACACCTCTTTGGGTGTCTTCCACGTTATTACTACCGATTCAACTTGTATGTGTACAGTACAACAAGGATTTATTGAACAAAATTTATGGAGTTTCGAGAATTGGTCAAGTGCTTGTTTTGCGATCAAGTAATGGTTCAATTCTTTTCAAGGAAACACTGAAATGGCATGCTACTAACAAATACAAAATGTCTATTTTGAATCAACTGATTTACGGTTGCTTTATTAACGATGGTAGTGATTTACTGATTGCAACCAGAAAGCTCATTGGAATATTTTCGTGTCAAATAAGGGATGGTTTATTACAATTCACTTTGAAAATAGAAATCGCTCCAAAGATTCTGTCCATATGTGGCATTTGTTATGAATCGTCCACAAACAAACTATTCATTTCAGAGAAGGCCTCAACAACAGTACAAGTTTACAATACCCTTAATGGTCAACTGTTACAATCATTACAGATACCAAAGATTTCGGAGAGTCATTCAGGAATTAAAATTATTGAACACACTGGAGAGTTGGCAGTACTGGATCCCTGCGAGCCAACGTTGTTACAACTATTCAAATAGTGATCATCATGATGTCACCAGTAGAACAGATCATTCCATACATGCCTAATGATCATTAAAAGTTGTGAGAGAGTTGAGATGATCATTTTTTTTTATTTCACTGTCCATGCGTTTATTTGTTCGAAAATTCAAACGTTATTCATGGCTGTGTGTGCAATTAGTACAGTTAAAGGTGGTTCATGTCATCAAAGTTAGTGTAATTATTGTTGTAAATTTCAATTATTGTTTGTCATCAAGGTTAGTGTAAATTTCAAATATTGTTGTAAATTTCAATTATTATTCATGGTCGTGGGTATTTCATGTATAGTTTAAACTTGTTCAAATCAATGAAATTGGGATTAAAATCGTATTGTTGTTCAAATTCATTCCAGGTGAGTTTCAATTCTTCCATGAAAAACTGATTTCGTTTCATCCACATTTTAGTAATAGATCGATAAGCTTCCTTAGTAAATACTTTGTCCCATTTCTTACCCAATCCAACTTTAGCACCTGTTAGGCTATGGATATCTTGTTTAGTCTTGATGAGGTACAATAGTCGTTTGGAGAATTTCTTGTTATTCTTTGCATATATTGAGATATTATATAAATTCCTAAACATTTCTTTTCTTATATCACTATAGTATTTACATTCAAAAATAATGTGTTGCATTGTCTCTCTACTACAGCAAGGACATAGCAAGTTCGTCTTGGATATCTTGTTTAAATTTTCCAAAGTCTTCATCACGTTCATTCTAATTTTAAATATTAGATTTAAGGTTTTGAAACCGATTCCTATTGAGGGGTAAATGTTGGTGAACTTTCTGTTCTTGGGAGGAAGGTTCTTTGGCGTATATGTTCTTTTGTGGAGGCGTTGAAATAGAAGTTTGTACATTGTTTGTCTAATGTTTTGAGTGTATAATACATTGTTGATAATAATATACCAATTATTGGATGGAATATTAGTAAGAATATTGTTACAATCAGCACCTTTCTTAGCAGCCCTATCTGCTAATTCATTTATGCGGCTATAGATATCTTGTTTACCTGTATGACTATTAACATGCATAATTTTGATCTGATCCTTCATTTTTAAATAATTACGAATTTCTTCAACATAAGGATCTCTAGATTTTCTGAATTGGAAAAGTTGGTCATAAATACTTTTCGCATCTATGACTATTGTTCTAGGAGTGTTGTTATCTAGCAATCTAACAACTGTGTGGAGCGCTTGAACTTCACTGTTGTAGGAAGTTCCTTGTCCTAAGGTGTGACTTGAGATGGAAACATTCTGATCAGTTACAATACCGTATCCAGCAATATTATTGTTACACGATCCGTCAGTACCAATTAGTGTAGCTTTGTTCAAGAGGTTTGACATGGATGTGTTGTTACCAACATATTTGTAGTATTTGCTTTCGTCTTTGATTTTTCCAAAATCCATGCTATTGAGAATGTTGCGAATTTGGGTGACATGATTGGAATGTTTGATGTCATTATGTAATTTCACTTGTAAATTTTTAGGGTCAGGAACCCACATACTTAATCTGTTCCAATCTTTATAGAGCAGGAATTGTCTTAAACCTTTAGGGAATTTTCCATAAGGGATGAGAGTTTTTTCATGCCATTGGTCACTCGAATGCCACAATCTAATATTGGAAGATTTGTTCATGAAAATTATTCTCTTGAGATATTGAGGAATCCATGGGTCTGGTTTATACCAAGTAGGGATTGGATCATTGAGGATGTCAAAACCATGCTCCTGTTTGATTCGTTCACAAAGGAATCTTGTAGAAGATCCAAGACAAATATCATATTGTTCAAGGAACTTTCTGACTTTACACATTAGGTCCGAGTAACTCATTTCTTGAACAGAAATTAATCCAAGTCCACCTTTGTCTTGATGAGTATAAAACCACTCGAGAGCTAATTTTCTCTTGGTTCTTAATCTTTCACATATAAAGTTGCGAAAGAATTTATCAATTTGTTTCTCTAGATGGTCATTAGCAAGAGGAATTAGGTGGTACAGTGCATACGGAACAATGTCTGTGTTGATAATTTTGACAATGTTCTGTATTGGAAAATTCCAGCCAATAGAGTTAGTTCTTCTTTTAACTTCTTCAATAATTGAAGAAGTGTATTTCGTTTGTTCCTCAGTATTATTGGTAATATTATTACCAAGTATAATAATAGAATCATTACTTTGATCGTACTTCCAGATAATGTCTTGATACTACATTCCTTATCAGAGAAGAGGTTAGTTTTGGAATGATCTAATTCCATGTGATAGCCATGAAGATAGGTTTCAATGTCATGCAAAGAATTTTCAATTTCAGGTAGTTCGTTGGAAAATGAGTTCAAATCATCAATCCATGCGCCTGTACTAATGTTCCAATAATTTGCAACACTAGCACCATTATATGTTATTTCTAAAAATTGTAAGAGAGGCTCAATCGCAATTTTGAATGCAAGGGGAGAGAAGGTGTCGCCTTGTTTCAATCCATCTTTCACATTGAAACATTCAGATTTACCATTAGGTATAACAAACTTTGTCGTAGATTCACCTAATATTTCCAGAATTCCATCAGCAGTAATTTCATCAATCCCTAAGAATAGCAGTCCATCACGAAGCATAATTCTCGGTAATGAGTCATAAGCTTTTTTGATGTCAACAGCCAAACCATAAAAAGGTTTCTTGTCCTTTTTT